GGAGTCTCGCTCTGTCGCCCAGGCTGGAGTGCAGTGGCCGGATCTCAGCTCACTGCAAGCTCTGCCTCCTGGGTCTACGCCATTCTCCTGCCTCAGCCTCCCGAGTAGCTGGGACTACAGGCGCCCGCCACCTCGGCCGGCTAGTTTTTTGTATTTTTTTTGGTAGAGACGGGGTTTCACCGTGTTAGCCAGGCTGGTCTCGATCTCCTGACCTCGTGATCCGCCCGTCTCGGCCTCCCAAAGTGCTGGGATTACAGGCTTGAGCCACCGCGCCCGGCCTCTCTTAGTTTTTAAAAATTTATTTTCCGTATGTCTTGACATCCTGTTAGTGAGAGAATTTTTCTATCATAGCCATAACTTTAAAAACTCCTGTATTTTATGTGGTTAATTTGCTGTTAAAATTCTTCAAGAGCCAAAAATCCTTTCAGTTACATTTTCATTCAGCCAGATTTTTGCTACCTTGTCTTACGGGTTTATACCAGCTGCAGCCCTTCCCAGGCCAGGGTTTGCTGCCTGTTTTCAAATTTCGAGTTTTATCTGTACATCTGTATGTTAAAGATTGTGAGAAATTGTACGAGCTTTAATTATGATTTCTGTATTGTCAGTCTTTAGTACAGGAATTTTGAGTAATTTGAGGCATTTCTTCTGCTTGTTAATTTGTGCCAATAGAATATAGTACTAAATTTTTTTTTTTTTAAATTAAACTTTCTAGTAAGTTCTTGGAGACGTGCTGATGACAGGAAAGATGACCGGGCAGAAGAGCGGGACCCTCCTCGTCGAGTTCCTCCCCCAGCTCTTTCAAGAGACCGAGAAAGAGACCGAGACCGAGAAAGAGAAGGTGAAAAAGAGAAGGCCTCATGGAGAGCTGAAAAAGATAGGGAGTCTCTTCGTCGTACTAAAAATGAGACTGATGAAGATGGATGGACCACAGTACGACGTTAAGTCTCAAGATAATGGATTTAAACTGGTGTCTTAAATAGGTTTGATCACATTCAAGGATTATTATACTTGTGCTTCAACCAATCTAAATTGGATTCTTTAATGTTTCACCATAACACAAAAAGCATGAACTTGTATTAATCCTATATAATAGATTGATCATGCACCATATCCACAGGAGGTTGGAAAAACCATGCCATTTTCTGGAATTTAAGGGTGTTGCATTATTTCATCAATCATTTGTTGACAAAAAAGAAAAAGTAAAAAATAAATTTAAAATGTGAACTTTCAGGTATTGAGTAACACCTTTATCTTGGTATAGAACTGATATATTTTTTTTTATTTTGAAATATCTGATATTAATTTGGAATGAAGTAAGGTTCTGTTAAAGAAAATATATTTGAAGACCCTTTAAAGCAGTGAATCTGAAACAATTTTCACACTTTTAAGTGGTTGATATGTACCTATTTTAGGTATTTTGAGGTATTTACCATAAACTAAATTTAGAAAGTTTTTAGATTCACTTGAAGTAAACATTACAAACATTGGATACGGTGGGGTTTTCTTTAGATTTTACTTGAGAGAAGGTGAGTACAAAGCAATTTGCAGTTGTTGTAATGACAAGAAGAATACTGCGCAAGTGTGAATCCAAACAGCATAGCTTTTAAATTTTAAAGCATTTGGTAAACTATCGCTGAGTTTTTTTCTGTTGCCAATAGTAAACTGCTTTTCCATTAATGGAGAATTCATGCCTTTCAAGCATTTTAAATATGACAATATTTATAAATGTATGGTTTGGAGGAATTGTTTAAATTCTTTCCTAATTTTCTTTCTCTTCAAGATAGATTCTTTCAACAAGTAATTTGTAGTAATGACTGTGTTGACTTCAATTTTGGAGTGTAGTAGCTATGTTAAAGATTAACTATTTGGTCTCATTGAAGCCAACACAGAACTTGCTGCTGTGTTTTTTCTTCAGTGATAAATAAAATACTTACAGAATTTGTTTTAGTGTTGATTTGTGGTTATAGTATTTTGTTTATAATGGTAAGTTTGCATCTTCAGTTGAGTTTTTTTACTTGAATTTTTATCAGTGCCATTAAATGTCTGTGTTTAGTATCAATGAATATGAACCTAAATATAACAAAGAAAGCATATGTGGCTAGGATGTCTCCCCTAAAATGTCTTCCTTTGTTAATGCAGAAACTCCTTAGTTTCCTTGTAAAGCTGTCCTCTGAGTTTGTGTGTGCATGTGCGTGTTTGAAGTACCACCTTGGGTTTTCACCTGAAATTAGAAAAATCATAGTTAATTTGAGAAAATGTTACAAATTCATCATGGCTGTAGGCACTTATTATTTCTGTTATTGAGTAGTGGTGAGAATTCCTATTGGTACAGCTGGAGGGCCAGAAGAGGGAGTATTGATGCTTTTTAACTTAACCAGATACAGCCTTTTTTGTTTGATGTTACCAATGACAGAAATCATTTTAAACACCTTTCTTAGTATCTGGTATTTCAAATATGTAGAAGTCTTTAAAGGTCTTTTGTGGGGAGAAGGACTTTTCTTTCATAACAAGAGAATTTCAGATCAGTGATTATCAGTGGGGCAGTAACCTGCTAAGAGTTTGCTTCCTGGAGAGTAGATCTGTATGTGTGACATCACAGGTAAGCCCCAACAATTTATTTAATCAGATTTGTTCAGATGAGTTACTGTTGGCCACGTTAGGGTTAGGTTTTAAGGCTAGTCAGGAAACCCATTCTTTCTGCTCAGTTTCCCATACTGTTCTCCCAAGTTCTTTGTCCTGGGAGCAGAACCCAAGTGCAAGAGGAGGGCAGAAGAGTCTGATGCTGTTACCTTGCGATCCTGCTCTTGGTTTCCACTGTCCAGGCTGTACAACTCTGTCTACTCCCACTAGTATTTACCAACAGGTGTTAAAGGAAAGCTGAACAAGCAGCCTACTCACCGATCTGCTAGGTGGTCTTCCATGTTCCTGGTGGCTTCTGCAGTTTCATTGAGAGTAACATTGCTGTTAATCCAGATAGATCCGATAGTAGAGACATCATCGGTCCGAAAAAGACTCTGCATCTCATTAGTTGTCCATAGTGGCTACCAGGAGGTGGTTGGCATCTATAATGTGTGGGACGTTTTTATGTCAAGAAATGCCTGTTGTTTTTTTTTTTAAACCAAAGACACTGACCATAGATTGATTTATAATTTTATAAGTCTAATTGAAATACATGGGGTACTGTGAAAGGACTGTTGCTTGAGTGGCTACGATTAGAAAATCAGGACTAACAAACTTTTCTTTGTCTGGAAGCATATATATTTGTGATAAAATTTTAATATGTATAATTTTGGTTTAATAAATCAAATCTATGACAAAAGTTGTTCTCATCAAAGCTAATAATTCTGCAACTTCCAAAAAGGACTTTGTAGGAAAATTAAAATACAAAGAAAAAAGCCACTAGAAATTTAAGTCTGTACAGAAAAGAACAGGTTAAGACAATCTGTACCTCGCCGGGCGCGGTGGCTCACGCCTGTAATCCCAGCACTTTGGGAGGCCGAGGCGGGCGGATCACAAGGTCAGGAGATCGAGACCACGGTGAAACCCCGTCTCTACTAAAAATACAAAAAATTAGCCGGGCGCGGTTGTGGGCGCCTGTAGTCCCAGCTACTCGGGAGGCTGAGGCAGGAGAATGGCGTGAACCCGGGAGGCGGAGCTTGCAGTGAGCCGAGATCGCGCCACTGCACTCCAGCCTGGGCGACAGAGCGAGACTCCGTCTCAAAAAAAAAAAAAAAAAAAAAAAAAAAAAGACAATCTGTACCTCTACAGTTGGAGAAGCCCTTTTGACTATTCCTTGTATTGTTTTGTGTACTTGGCCAAGTATGCAGCATGTTCTTAAGATAATTTTGTCATAATTACTTTGTATATTTCTTAAACTTTGAAAAATTGGGTTTCTCTAAATGTAATTTTGCAAAATGTTGAAAGTTTCATATTGAGTTCCAAGGATTTTTAAATGATGTGTTTGCTTGCATATGCTTTTCATAAGAGAACGCTAGAAAATTAACTATAGTAATATTCTGTGTTTTAACTCCCAGTATTGTCAGCTGGAAAACAGGCAAATTTGGCACAGGGGCTGAACATGGGGTACTGTTTTCTTTTTTGGAGACAGTCGCTCTGTTGCCCAGGCTGGAGTGCAATGGCACGATCTGGGCTCACTGCAACCTCCGCCTCCTGGGTTCAAGGGATTCTCCTGCCTCAGCCTACCAAGTAGCTGGGGTTACAGGTGCCCACCACCACACCTGGCTAATTTTTGTATTTTTAGTAGAGAGAGGGTTTCGCCATGTTGGCCAGGCTGGTCTCCTGACATTGTGATCCACCTGCCTTGCCTCCCGAAGTGCTGGGATTACAGGCATAAGCCACCACGCCCAGCCTGAAAATGGGGTACTTTAAAAACAGAGGAATAGTGGCTGCCTGACTAGTTGGCGAGAGGGTCTTCTGGATACCTTTTCCAATACTCTCTTGCCCTCAGGAAGCTCCAGCTCAGTATGTTCTTAGTTCTGGTAGAACAGTAGCGGTGTCAGACTATCAAATTAACATTAGACACATCTCATCACAGTGACTCCCATATATTCAGGCTATGTCAAAGCCTCCAAGACCTTTGGAAACCGTCTGTAATTTGACTCTAGAAATACACAGGAGCTAAATTGATCTTGCCACCTGGTTAGCCCTTTTGGCCTAGAGAATGCACTGATCTGTTTATGGTGGTCCTTTTGAAAAGGCAGAACAGCAGCAGTGGGAGAGGTAAGAGGATTCATGTTGGCCTTAGAAACTTCAGCCAGAAAGCGAAGCTCATTTAAACCGGTGTATTTTCTAGCAAAAGAAAGGAGAACAAGTAATTACAGGGTTTCATTAAGCTACTTAATTTAGGCCCAATCAGATCAGCAGTTCTCTGGTCTGGGGTTAAGACTAGCAGCGTTGGATTATTTTTCTTTCCCGGCTAAGAAAGTGTTTTCCCCCGCCCCCAAGTTCTTGATATGCTGCACCTTTTCTTTGACCAGAAAGACAGCTATTGGGTATTTACTCCACCCTCTAACACACCTTCAAATGAAGGTTCCTGATTGAGCCAATTTGCTGTGGAGGAAGTTAGCTGTTATTATGAAAGCAGTCTAACTTATAGTAGCCTAGCTAAATCCTACTGGGAGCCTTATACACGTAGACTAAATCTCTTGCTGGTATCTTCAGATAGTGATGCATTTGTGTATTTCAGATGAGTTCATCTTAATTCACTTCTATTTTTTGCCTTCTATTGTCTTGATTGGCAGGTAGCTGCATTCCATAGTGTGGCATTCAGTATGGTGGATTTAAAAGTGAGGGTGGGAGGGTAAAGTAGGGGTTAGGAACTTTTGCCCATCAGGTTTAGTCTTGCTTATGGGGAACTGGTGGGGTTCCGGAAATGGACATGGGTCTTCCAGTAGGAGTGGGAACATGAAAGACCCCCAACAATTCCTTTAATTAGTGCTTATTCTAGTTTGAGCACTGCCTATATTAAAGTCAGACGCAGCCCACGGTGGAACCTTCTTGAATACGAGTTAATACACGAATAGCTCAGAGCTAGAGATCCATCTTCTATTTAAGAGGCAACAGCTGGAATGGGCTTTCCTCCACTAGGAACCCTGAAATTGAGCAATCTAGGGTGAAGACTGCTGTCTTCCCTTCTTCCCTTTGATCTTAATATCAAACGTTTTGAGAGAACTGGAAGTGAGTGCGTCGAGAAAAGGCCAAGTAGAAAAGCTACAGGTGAGATTGATGAATTCATAGTTACTGTATAAATACACAGTTTTTTTAAACAGCACCATTTCCAAGTTATACACAATATGATTATGACTTAGCACAACTTTTAAAGGTGGAAAAGGCTAGTTGCTAGTTCAGTAATAAAATATCTGGTACATAAAAGGATAAGGAGCTGTATTCTACCTGCTACAGATTGTGCATTTTACACCTCCATCTAGGACGGAAACAAGCCACAAGGAGGGAATACCCGCCCAAATTAATACTGGAAAGTTTACAAAACCTTCACTTCTCATAAGGGTGATGCTACCAGCGGCTTGCTTCACCTGGAATTAGAGTAACTGATTTTTTAAGGACAACTAATATTACTCGCTTCAAACAATAAAATAGTCATTTTGCCGACATTTCATAAAATCGCCAGTTTTAAGCTCAGTTCAGAGGCTTTTAAAAAAATATTCTAGACCTAGTAAAGTGCCTCCATTCATAAAATGAAACATCCTAGATTGAGACAATTTCATACTGATGCGCATCTAAAATAGGTCCACGTATACAGTAAATAAACAGCGCCTCTAAGTTGCCGTATTTCAGTTAGTGGAATACACACCCAGCCTTCGCCGTTCTGGATGTGCAAACTAGAAACTGAAGACATGGTGATTTCACCGTCTAGTCCCATATTGCTCGGCACGGAAGTACTCCACACGGTCGGCTGCTTTTGAAAAACCACCAGGACGACGTCCCAAAGTCGAGCCGACCGCTGAGCCGCACGCCTCCCCACGGCGGGGGCAAGATGGTGCGCAGACCTAGTGGTGCGAGGGGCGGCGGCGGCGACCCTGGGTGGCCGGGAGCCCGGGCCCTCAGCGCAGCTTCTTGCCAGGCGGGCCGTCCCTGGCGCTGCGGGGCGGCGGGCGGGCGGGCGGCGGCGGCACTTTGGAGAGCGGGCAGTACTTGATGGTGTGCGCGTTGTCGCCGCTGGCGCCGCACAGGGGACACGTGTAGCGGCGCAGCACTGGGCACAGCACTCGCCCGTCGGGGCCCTTGAGGATATGGGTGGTGTAGAGCGCCATCGCCTCCTTGTTGTTGCGGCAGAATACGCACACCTGCAGCTCCGGCTTCAGCAGCCGGGCGGCCGCCGCCCCGGAGGCCGCGTGCAGCCGGGGCTCGGCCGCCCATGCCGGGGCCCGCTCCTCGCGCGGCGTCGCCTCGCTAGTAGTGGCGGCCGCGGCAGGCGCGCAGCCCAGCAGCACGGCGGCGGCACGACCTGCGAACGGGCTCAGCTCGGCGAAGCGCTCCTCCAGCAGCCCGGCCTCGGCGGGGCCCGCGCACAGCTCCAGCGCTCGCAGCTCCAGCGCGCCCCCCAGGTAGCGGCCCCGGGACCCCGGCTCGTCGCTGTCGTCGTCGTCGTCGTCCTCCTCGTAGTAGTCGGGCGGCCCCAGCGCCGGCCCCAGCGCCCCAGGCCCAGTCCCCGCGTGGGGGGAGCAGCAGGACGAGGAGGAGGGCGGGGAGCCGCTGCCGCCGTTCCCACCGCGGGCGCAACCGAAGCGCGGCTCGCCGTCCACCGCTTTGGTGATGAGCGTGGCGAGCCCCAGGTAGTCGTTCCAGGAGCTGAAGGGCTGCGGGTGCGCCGGGCCCGGGGCGCTCACGTAGCGGGCGCTGGGCACGAGCGCCATGGGCGGGGGGGCGCGGCCGCGGCGGGGCGAGCGGGGCGCCCAGGGGAAAGCCTCCATGGGCGGGCTGCGGGCCGCGCGCCGCCTCCCCGCCGCCGGCGCGGGCCGGACGGAAGGGACACGCCGAGCCTGCCCGCCGGCCTGCCGCGGGGTGGGGCCGCCGCGCCGCCTTTTATCGGGCCCGCTCCTCCCCGCCCCCCCGGCCTCGCCGCCGCGGCCCTGCCCCCTGCGCTCCCCCGCCCCGACCACCTCGCCCGCGCCCCGGACGGAGGCGGAGCGGAGGCGGGCGGGCTGTGCGCGCGCTCCACTCCGGCCCGCGCGGGTCCCGCGCCCCGCGCGCCGCGCCAGCTTCGCCAGCTGTCGGGAGGCCTTCATTCCGGGAGGGGGCGGGCGAGGCGCCGCCTCGGGCCGTGGCGCTCATTGGCTGCAGACCAGAGCCCCCCGGGCCCCGGGCGCCGCTCCGGACGCTGATTGGTGGGGACTGGGGAGGGGGCGTGCTCTTCACGCAGCTGGTAGGTGAGGAGAAAGTAGGGGAGAGAAGGGCCGGGGAGGGACTGCTGCTGAGGTCCTCCTTCGTTCGCGCGCCGGGCCTGGCCTTGGAGCAGGTGACCAGGCCTGGGTCTCCTCGGCCTGGTGGTGAGGCCCACCGAGGACAGGGGTCAGGGTGGCCACAGGTTTACGCCTCCACCTCCCGGCCTTTAATGGCCCCAGGTCCGCATCCTGAGAATCCCCGCTATCCACCCTCTTCTCACCAACATCAGCATGAAAAGCTGGACGCGATGGGAGGATGCAGCTCTCCCATCACAGCCGCCCAACCAGCCAGTGGCTTCCGTTTGCACCGCGCGTTGGAGCGCTTTCCCCTGAGCGAAATCCGCACACACCGTGAGGTTCGGGGAGGCTGTGGTTCCTGCCGCGGTAAGAGCGGAGGGACGCAGGACTTTCCCGCTCCTCGCAGCAGCCTTCCTCCCAACAGGTGCTCAGGGACCTCAGCCGATGGGTGGCCGATACCCGGTGACTTAGGTCGGGGTTGGGACTGGGCCGGAAAACCTCATGGCTGGAGAGCCTAGGACAGTGACTGGGATGTGTGTGTGTGTGTACCTCCTCGACCCAGAGGCCTGAGTCAAAATGTGGGTTATATGTGCAGTTTGAAAAACAACGTGTGTTCAATGTTATATTTTGTCTTCCTTCCTCCCTTCCTCCCTCCCTCCCTTTCTTCCTTCTTTCCTTCCTTCCTTCCCTCTTTCCCTCCTTCCTTTTCTTTTTTTTTTCTTTCCTCATCCCGGGTTCAAGCAATTCTTTTGCCTCAGCCTCCCGAGTAGCTGGGAATACAGATGCCCGCCACCACGCCCGGCTAATTTTTTTATTTTAGTAGAGACGGGGTTTCACTAGTTGGCCAGGCTTGTCTTGAACTCCTGACCTCGTGATCCGCCCACCTTGGCCTCCCAAAGTGCTGGGATTACAGGCGTGAGCCACCGCATCCGGCCTCTTTCTTTATTTCTCTCTCTTTTATCTTCTTGCTTTTTTTTCTTTTAATTTTTTATTTTCTTGAGACAGGGTCTCACTATGTTGCCTAGACTGGTCTTGAACACCTGGCCTCAAGCGATCTTCCTGCCTTGGCCTCCCAAAGTGCTGGGGTTACAGACATGAGCCACCACACCTGCCTCGACGTTATAATTAAATACTTTGAAATGAATAAAACATGTTGTGGAAAAGCCACGGAGAATAAGAGCCAGAAGATGAGTTTTGATTAGGAAGATGGCAGGTGGTCTTACCCTTTCCAACTTTTTAAAAAATTGAAAGTAGGAAAAGCTTTAGATACTGAGGGCTCTTCTAGGACGAAACCTAGAACTGGGATCAGGAAAATGCCTCCCCTGGCAGGTGGGCCCTGGCAGCGTGGGCTTCATGGGGCAGGTGGGGCTTTCCTTCCCCACTCTGGACCATGCAGTGGCTGTGGAAACAATGAGCCCTCACTAGGCCTGAAGACACACTCACAGGTCTTGGCTGTGCCCAGCAGGTTTAGAATGGCTCAGCAGGAGATGCCCAGAACCTAGTGCTGGCATTGGTTAATATTAGAATGAATGAGTGAGGGAATCAGAATGTCAGCATGGGGAGGGATCTTTGGGATCATTCTATTTGATCTTTTCTTGCTTTTTTTTTTCTTTTTTAATAGACGGGGTCTCGCTATGTTGCCCAGGCTGGTCTTGAACTCCTGGCCTCAAGTGATCCTCCTGTCTTGGCCTCACAAAGTGCTGGGATTACAAATGTGAGCCACCACACCCAGTTCTATCCAGTCCTTACAGATGAAGAGAATGAGACCTAGAGAAGAGTAGGATTTCTTTTTTTTTTTGAGACAGAGTCTCACTCTGTCACTCAGACGATTGGGTTCAAGCTATTCTCCTGCCTCAGCCTCCTGAGTAGCTGGGATTACAGGCATGTGCCACCACGCCCAGCTAATTTTTGTATTTTTAGTAGAGATGGGGTTTCACCATATTGGCTGGTCTCAAACTCCTGACCTCAGGTGATTTGCCCACCTTGGCCTTCCAAAGTGCTGGGATTACAGGCGTGAGCCACTGCACCCAGTCAAGTAGGACTTCTTTAAGGCCACAGTGACTATGTGACAAAACTAAGACTCTGGTCCTGTTACTCCCGGCTGGGTGGCCTTCTCACTACACCCTGGACCCGCAAGGGACTCAGACAATGAGTCTGTGCATGCATCAGCAGAACTCTAAGGCAGAACACAGGGGAAGCTGGAAAGAAGTGAAGTGAGGTGGGGTGATATGGCCTTGGCTGGGGCCCCTGCCCTCAAAGAGCAATCCAGGGCTCTGGCTGGCAGGCACGGAAAAGGACTTGAAGCAGTGAAGTGAGGCCTGTTGTTCTGGCTGCCTCTCTGGGTTAGGGGTTAAAGATCCATGTTTCGGCCTCTTCCTCCTAGCCCCTGATGGTTGATGTAAGTCACGAAACCAGGCAGTAATATTCAGCGCTTGCCAACCCAGCTCCTTTTCCAAGTTTGTGTTGGCATGCAAGGTAGAAAGTCATTCCTTTATTTCCTCCCCCTCTCCACCAAAAATAAATAAAAGAACCTCCATGCCGCAGGGCTCCTGCAGAAGCCTGGCAGGTTTGCTGACCCTGAACTCGGAGCTTTTACCACGAGAACGCCAGCCCCCCAGAGTGGTATGAAGATGATTATTCTATGAATGGAAAATTCCACTTGGTTCACACAGCCCTGCAGCCTGCATCCTTTCAAGATATGCAGACTTTTCAAGCTCTGAAGATGGGGAGCCACAGTTCTGAGAATAACTTTGGCAGGAAAAGTTTAAAACTGCCAGCTGCTGTGTCTGATCCCCCTTGGTCAGGCCAGCGAGGCGACGGCACAGAAGCAGAGGCCTTCTTTCCTCCCCACATGGTTTTCAGCCCTTGTGGTTGTATGGGGAGAATAAAAACTTTTCAGAGATAACAATAGGAACAAACACCTTGGCTGGGACCTGCAGCCTGGGTGTGTGGGAAGTGGAGCTGGGATGGAGATGCCCCAGAAGGAGGTGGAGGAGTGAGTGTGTCTTGGGGTCCACCACATGCTGTTTCCCCAGGCTGCTCCCCTTGACTGCTATACGAGGTAAGTAGACATTTGACCCAGAAGGGAAGTCGGGAAGTGGAGGCCAAGTGCATGAAGGCTTTTGTCCTGGAGCACACGCTGGGCCTCGGTACCCTGGGAGCCTTTGCTTTCAGTGACCATAGAAAGGCTAGTGTGGGCACCTGGCCCAGCTCTGGGTTAAATAAACAGTGACTTTAGTCACCCAGCACAGGCCTCAGCCTGGCTGTGACTAGCTCTTTGAGGTGCTGGTACCGACTCCAGAGATGTTCTTAGCACCTCTGAAGAAGTCTCATTGCCTTTTGCTCACTTTCCAGGAGTCTGGAATGAAACAGATGGAAATAGCCAGTCTGTGAATGTTTCTTCAGGTCTCTGGCAGAGGCGAGAAGACAGGTGGACATGGGCCACACCTCAGAAGTTAGAGGGTGCTGCTTGGTTTCTTCTGGAGTGGGGTCTGCCTGGCACAGGCTGAGGGCTCTGGCAGGGCCGGGGTGGGTGGTGGGGAGGGTGCCTGGGTTCTGTACTCCCACCTCTCCTCATGGCCTCCAGCCTGGGCCATTTCCTTTGCTGGCAGCAGCACTGAACCCTGTGAGGCAGCTCACAGACCTCAGGCTCCTGAGGCTCTTCAGAAACATGAGGTCAGCCTTGGGGAATGAGGCAGCTTGGCCAGGGTCCAGGCGGCTACAGAGATGCTGTTTGTCAGGCTCTGGGTTCCCGCTGACCCCCTGCCAGGCCTTTGCCAGGGACAGGAGGTGCTTTGGCTCCTTCAGCTGTGGGCCTGGAGGTGGGTGAGGCGCATTTGGGCACAAGGGGCCCTCTCCTGGCAGACTTTGTCCACATCATGGCTCTGACAAGCTCAGAGAGTCCTCGGATGGGCGTCCTGCCCTTGGGGGGCTTGGGCTTAGGGTCTGCTGTTGTGGAGAAGCCATATGGTGAAGTGGGGAGAACTTACTGGGCCTTGGGGCTGGGTTTGCACCCTGGCCCTGGTACAAAGTCACGTGTAGTGGACCTCTCTGGGCCCGGGCTGCTGCTTTGGGTCAGTGAAGGGCTCTTGTCAAGTAAAATGGCAGCCACTCCCCTTCCTTGCTGACTTAACTTTGTTCTGATTCCCTCTCTCAGCCTCAGGCCATAACTGTGACAGGTTTAAGCCACGCAGAAATATCCCATTTCCCCTAGTCACCACTGGGTAAGGGGAGGGCTGGTCACCCATTCCGGCCCTGGAGATCTCAGCGGACGTCTGCTGTCTGCTGGGAGGATAGTGGGAAGGGTCTTGCTCCCTTACATAAAAAGGGGGAAGAAATCAAGAACCAGGGTCCTCACCTTCTTCAGCTCAGGCTGTAGAGCTGAGGTAATAAGGCTTAAGGACACAAAGCTGGCACAAGGTGATGGCTTACCGGAAAAGTTAAAACAACAAACCTTAGTGATATTTTTGTTGATGACTTGGTGACTTGTTACATGAGATAATTAAACATATTTATTATTTCAGCCACTTCCAGTCAGGTATCCTTTT